TGTACATTTAATTAAGTTATTGTTAATAAACCAATAACAATTGTAAGTGGCTATTGTTCGGGACGAACAATACTAAGGAGGGGCAGTGTTGCGTCAGCGAGGTCACGTGACTAGTGTCACGCCACGAAGGTTCGAGAGGGGAATAGTCGGGAGATTACTAGATATAGGGTAGTCTGGTATATATATAATATATATATATATTGTTACCTCTCCGTTTGTTAATTAACTTTCCGTAACTTCGTTCCGACGAAACTTTAGCGACACAAGTCCTTACTTACTTAATAAAACTGGTTTATTCTTTCCGAATATAACTTTACGAAACACTTAATTTCAACAATCGCGCTAAAACAAACGCTATAACAACGAACGTGCTCAATAATACTCTCTGACTGCAGATCAATTACACACTGTCTACACACACATTGTTCTGTCACGTTGTCACCCTCATGTGTTTATTCGGCCCCAACCGGGTATTGATTGGGCTACCCGGTAATACTCGGGTCTGGCCGAGTGTCGAAGTTAGGCATTTAAACCCTAATCTTTGTAGCAACTAACGCAGTATTGAAAGTTACAGCCAATAATTGGTCTTAGTTAAAAAAATAATAATAATAAACGTGTACCAAGCAACAAAAACTGACCGCCCACTGAAAGTCGGGGATTCAGAGAACAATAGGGGTTAATAACTGGCATGGCTTGAAAATTATATTTCTGGGGAAGGTAGGGTTTTGAGAACAATAGGTGTTAGGGTTTGAGAAGTTGAGACTAGGCATTGAAAGTTGAAAGTAAAACTTGAATGTCCTGTTGATGATGTCGGTTAAATGTAATAAACGTTAATTTTGTCTTTGTTTCTAATTTTTGGGGGAGGGGGCAACGGGAGAATCCGGACCCGGTATTCGGCCAAATTATACTGCCCGTGCATCCCTAATATATATATACATTATACTTCCATATAATATTTGGTAGTGTTACAACAAAATACATCTAGTCATCCAATAAAAATAAATTCTTGTCCATTCGGTTATTCGAATATATTGTTACGTTTCTGTTCGTTTGTTAATTTTCCGTAAAAGTTCTTTCCGAAGAACTTCAGCGATACAGGTCCTTCGTTAAATATAACTAGTTTATTCTTTCTCAATACAACTTTGCAATACACAGAATTTTCACGTTTACTTAAACTTAAACACACGCTAT